GTGTGATCTCGGCTCACTGCAACTTCCGCCTCCTGGGTTCAGGCAATTCTCCTGCCTCAGCCTCCTGAGTAGCTGGGATTACAGGCACGCACCACCATGCCCAGCTAACTTTTGTATTTTTAGTAGAGATGGGGTTTCACCACGTTGACCAGGATGGTCTCGATCTCTTGACCTCGTGATCCACCCGCCTCGGCCTCCCAAAGTGCTGGGATTACAGGCTTGAGCCACTGCGCCCGGCCTAATTTTTGTATTTTTAGTAGAGACGGGGTTTCACCACGTTGACCAGATGGTCTCGATCTCTTGACCTCGCGATCCACCTGCCTCAGCCTCCCAAAGTGCTGGGATTATAGGCGTGAGCCACCGCGCCCGGCCTCCAGCCGGAATTATTTTTCAGAATGCAGAAGGTTTCTCCTCTCCCTGCATATGTGGCATTGTTACTCTGACTCAGTGATTCTCAAAGTGTGTTCCCTGGACCTGCATCATCAGCATCACCTGGGGGTATGTTAGGAATGCAGATCGTCAGAGTCCCCTCCCCAGATCTCCTGAGTCAGGAGGTCTGGGCATAGAGCCCAGTAACCTGTATTGCAATAAGCCCTCCAGGTGATTCTGACATACCTCCAGCCTGAGGCCCACGAAGTGAGGGAATGTTGTTATTCTGCAGAATGCTAGCTCCTCTATGAATGTGAGAGAAAGCATAGGGAATCTGAGGGAGGTGCGTTCTTGAATCAGAAAGAAGTTCAGATATTCCTTGTCTGGGTGTGTGCTGCAGCCTGGAAACCAGGGTCATGCTAAGTGTTCACTGGGACACAACACCTTGCAGCCTCGAAGAAGTTTTTGCTTGGGTCTAGTCTAAAAACAGAGATGTATTGGGATAAGGTTTAAAACTTGCCAAGAACAAAATCAGTGATGCAGCCCGGGCGCAGTGGCTCCTACCTGTAATCCCAGCATTTTGGGAGGCCAAAGTGGGTGAATCACCTGAGGTCAGGAGTTTGAGCAACTCCTTCACTATGTTGGTCAGGAGCATGACCAACATAGTGAAACTCCATCTCTACTAAAAATACAACATTTTTGGTAGAGTGGTGTATGCCTGTAATTCCAGCTACTTGGAAGGCTAAGGCAGGAGAATCACTCGAATCTGGGAGGTGGAGGTTGCAATGAGCCAAGATCATGCCATTACACTCCAGCCTGGGTGACAAGAGCAAAACTCTGTCTAAAAAAAATAAGTGACGTAGCCAAGCTTTACCAAGGGGCAGAGCCAGCTGCCAGCATCTGTTTAGAAAGCCTGCTTCAGACTAGCAAGATGGTTCTAGCAGACGTCGGAGATGTGGGTTAGGTTGATGGACTTTCAGGGGACTATTCCTAGGTGGATCTCAGGAGGAACCAAAAGGTGTCTAAAGGATAATACAGGTTGATCTTATGGAAGAAGGAGAACTCTGGGGCTAGGCTTGCCTCACTGAAAGAACCAGACATCATCAGGGAGCATCCAGGGTGTGTGTGTGTTGAGGCGGTGGGGATGGGGTAGGTATGGATAAAGAGAAAGAGACACAAACACAGAGAGAAAATGAACAAAGAAATTCTGGGAAGGGTAAAGATTTCATGAGTCTTGAGTTGGGTTTAACCCAAGGCTTCCTAGGCTGGTGTACACTAGGGCAGGGTGAGTAGGAGAGGGCTGGAGGTCCTGTGTGTCTAGGAAAACTTTTCAGCCCAGAAAACTGACAAAGCTTTATTTCATCCTCAACACAGACATCTCTACGTGGCCTTCTCATCTGGTTTTATACTTTAATATTTACTATGTTGATTTTCCCACAGTTCTCTTGGTTTAGGAGAGTACCTTTTGAAATTTCCAATCCTACTTGGCTGAATGGAGGTGTCCCCATCACGGCCAACATAGCTAAGCAGAACAGAGCGTCCTTAGCGGCCGTCCTGGCTGGACAGCGCATCGAAATGTGGGGCTGTTAGAATGCTCACAGATGTCCAGTTCCTCCTGTTTCCCTAGCAGTGGGCGCTCTAGGAGACCCTGCCTGGAGCAGGGCCAGTAGATTTCCTTTGGTGCCACCACACATAATCATAATACCTTAAATGTACACTTGTAGGAGGGTTGTTTTCTCACAGGAATTTGCTAAGCATAGAGATTGTTGTATCTCATAAAATTCAAGATGTGGCCATATGTTTAGCTACTAGAGTATGAGCTACCTGAGGACAGGGACCATATATTTTATTTTTGTGTCTCCAATGCCCAGCATGATGCCAGGTACAAAATCAGCAATCAGGAAACATATCTGTGGAACTTTGAGCAGATGGGTCTTGTTTTGAGGAGCCTACGCCGGGTGTGGTGGCTCATGCCTGTAATCCTAGCACTTTGGGAGGCCAAGGTGGGTGGATCACCTGAGGTCAGGAGTTCAAAACCAGCCTGGCCATCATGGTGAAACCCCATCTTTAAAAAAAAAAAATAAAAAAAAAAAAAAAGAGGAGCCTACAAGCCTGCTGAAGAGATAAGAAAAGTCCCTCAAGGGGAGGGTTGTGATGTGGGTCACAATCCTATTACACAGCCACAAGCAGGCATCTGCTGGGAGGTTCAGGCTGAGGGAGACCCTTTAAGGAGAAAGTGCAACTTGAAGGGGTATCCTTGATCTACTTCATTTGTTCTGAAGGGACTGAGCTTAGGAGAAGCCTCCTCATATCCAGGTAGTCAGAGTTGCTAGGGCAAAGCCAGAGGGAGAGTCCTGGTGCGTGTTGGGTGGAATTCTGGCAGATGAACAGGGGGTGCCCATGACAGGGGATTCTGGGATCACACTGTCAGGGCCTAAATCCTTGGCACTTTCTTGGTGTTGGTGACCTTGGCAGGATACTTGTCCTACTATGTCTCTGTTTTTTTATCTGTGAAGTGGGACTAATAGAACCTGTTTCAGAGGGTTGTGAGAATGAAGTGAGTTCACGTATGTAAATTGCCTAGAACAGTGGCTGGCAAGGAGTTAGTGCTCTCAGCATGTTTGCTGTTACTGCCTGTGCTCCCCAGCTTGTACAGGGCCAAGTTCCACACAGTCCCACGTTGAAACTGTTTAGAATTGGAGAAAGAAGAGATAAGGGGGATTGAGCAGCAGAGGCGAGAGTGCCAGCCCCTGAACCACCTGGTGCTCCCTCTCACAGACAGAGGGGGCGAGCCCCCCATTCACAGCACGGGTTCCAAGCTCTGCCTCAGCCTATGACCAGAGAGGACTGGCCCCTGGACAGGAGTACCAGGTCACTGTCCGAGCCCTTCGAGGGACCAGCTGGGGCCCTCCTGCCTCCAAGACCATCACCACCAGTGAGAGCTGGGGCTGCGGGGGCTGGCGTCCTGGGTGGAGATCCGGACTGGAGAGGGAATCTGCCTTCCAGAGGGAGAGGGGAGGGGCTGGATGGGGGCTAGGCTCTTGGAAGGAAAGCTGATAACTGAAGAACCAGACACCCACCTGAGCCCTCCTCTCTTTTAACTTGGCTAGTGATCGATGGGCCCCAGGACCTCCGAGTGGTGGCTGTGACGCCAACAACACTGGACCTCAGCTGGCTGCGTCCCCAGGCCGAGGTGGACCGATTTGTGGTGTCCTATGTCAGTGCTGGCAACCAGAGGGTACGGCTGGAAGTGCCCCCTGAAGCAGACAGGACACTGCTGACTGACCTGATGCCAGGCGTGGAATATGTGGTGACTGTCACTGCGGAGCGGGGCCGGGCAGTCAGCTACCCGGCTTCTGTCAGGGCCAACACAGGTATGGCTGGCCAGAGGTTAGGGAAGCGCCCTGGTTTCCCAACCTTGGATCCTCCTTCTCAGGAGCCCAGGCCCAGGGCTCACAGGCTCCTCTGAATGCATCTGGCAGGTGTGTGGCAGTCTCCAGGCACCTGCTGGGGGCCTTGCTTTGTCCTGAGGCCACTGGGGAGACAGAGCCCTCAGATGCCTGGAGTCCTGTAAGAAAGCTGCAGGTTAGACTATGGAAGGAACCGCCTCAGGGAGAGAAGTGAATAGGAGATGCTGTCTGACCCAGCCAGTTAAGGGACGTTTGTATTTACATTTAGGTACAGGGAAAGGCCTTGTGCTGATGGATCTTGTGGGACTGGAATTAGGCAGATTAGCGATCGTCAGTCTTGTTGACTTCAGGATTGGGATTGCTGGGAGGTGGGTCTCACAGCAGTGATTTTCCACTAAACCTCAAGGTTTCTTAACAGATACCTGGATATTTCTTTTCTTTTCCTGTGACCCGGGACACCCATCTCGCTGTAGCTCATTTTCTCTTCCCTGACTCCCCCTTCTCTTCTTCAGCTACAGGGCCCCACCCATGGGCTTGTCTCTTCTTTCTAGGGCACCAACAGTGGTGGGCTTGGAGGGGGATGGGGGGACTCGGGGACACTGACCGATTTCCCTCCGTTCTCTTTCCAGGTGGGGCTGGGGCACAGGGAAGAGGCCTCTGGCTCTGGTGGGAGGGATAGGGGAGGGGCTGCCGCGGGGAGAAGTGCCGGAGGGAGCTGCCACTGACCTGTTCTCCCCTTTTTCGCTCCTGGCAGCACCAGGCCACTACAGTTACCCGGAGGTGCGCCCCCCATCCCCGCCCCCCAAGCCCCAGTCCCGGCCAGCCCCAGCCCCGCGTCCCCCGCGTCCCCCACAGCCCCTTCGGCCCTCGAGGCCCGCAGAGGAAGGCGAGGAGCCCCGGCCCCGGCCAAGCTCGTCCCAGCCCCCACGGCGGCCTTGGGGCAACCTGACGGCCGAGCTGGGCCGCTTCCGCGGCACGGTGCAGGACCTGGAGCGCCACCTGCGGGCTCACGGCTACCCACTGCGGGCCAACCAGACTTACACGTCGGTGGCCCGCCACATCCATGAATACTTGCAGCGGCGTCGGGCGGCCGTCGCCCCCGCCGGCTCCCCTGCACCCCTGCCCCGCCACCCCCGCCCCACCGCCAACCCCGACCCCGGCAACAGGAAGCGGGACTCCAACCAGGGCATCTACGGCCCCTCGCCTGAAGGTGTCGACCGGGTGGCTGCGCCCCGCCACCCCAAGCCTGAGGTGCTGGGCAGTTCCGCTGACGGCGCGCTCCTCGTGTCTCTCGACGGGCTCCGCGGCCAGTTCGAGCGCGTGGTGCTGCGCTGGCGGCCTCAGCCGCCTGCAGAGGGCCCCGGCGGTGAGCTGACCGTGCCGGGCACCACGCGCACCGTCAGCCTGCCCGACCTCAGGCCCGGCACCACCTACCACGTGGAGGTCCACGGGGTGCGGGCGGGGCAGACCTCCAAGTCCTACGCCTTCATCACCACCACAGGTAGCGTGGGCTGGGGCCACGGGACACCCATCCCCTGTCCAGCCTCACCTGCCGTTGGAGCCTGCATTCACGAGTTCCTCCCCTGCCACCCCCCACTGCACCCTTCTACCTTCAGGCCCCAGTACCTGGTTCAGGCTCCAGGGGGCCCCGGGACAAAGCATGAGTCCAGTGTCCCTAGAAGATGTCTTCACCCCAGGGTCCTGGCATCATCCTGTGGATGCCTAAGGTCAAGGCGGCCGGGTCTTTGGGGTTCCCGGGTGGCTTCAGGATTGCTGTTTTAGGCAATAGACGAGGATGTGGTTGGGGCACCTGCAAAGATTCACTGGAGCGGTTTGAGTGGGCTGGGAATTGAAAACAGTGATTCCCCGTCTGACTCACTGTGGTGAGGGTGGCTGAAGACTGTGGTCAGTGGTTACTGTTTTCCACAATTTGGCCTTGACCTTGAAGAGACACATCAGAACTGCGTGGGGGTGGCCTGGGTGCCATCAGGCAGCAACTGGATGTGGGGGATGAAACCACTGCTTCTTGAGCTGGCTTTTCAGACCTCCTGGCTCACTTTATGCTGGTCTCTCCCACAGGAACGATGTCTGGGCTTGGGGAAGGGCACCCTGTGGCTGCTGTCGGGAGGGTGGTGGACCTGTTCTTCCCCCATAGGGCCCAGATGCCACCTGACCTGGATGTCCACCTGCACGCCCTCTCTTTCTTCCCACTGCCCACTCTCCTCTTGCATCCTCCCTCTCTAACACCACTGTCTTTCTTCCAGGCTTCTCACTGCAGCACTAATGGAAGCCACCTGACCACCACCCAGTGGGGGGGGGGTGTATGTGGGGAGGAGCATGGAAGTCTCTGGGAGCTAGAGGTCATGGAAGCCTTGTGGGATGAGGGATAGCAGAATTTATTTTACTTATTACCTGCCTGAAGCACAGGCCTGTCTGCTTAGGAATGGTAGATGGGGGTGTTTGTAGGACTGGCTGACCTTTGGGAGGAGGGGTGGCCCAGGTGATGGAACCAGAAGTAGAAGAGTGGAGGGTCTCAAGGCTGTTAAGAGGCTGGAGGGCAGAGCCTGAGGACTGGGGATTCCTTTCTAATTCTCATACTGGATTCTCCTCTTTTTCTCACCCTGCCCCTTCCTAGGGTCCTCACCCTCTGGCCTCTTGGGGACTACTGACGAGCCTCCTCCCTCAGGCCCCTCGACGACCCAAGGGGCCCAGGCCCCTCTCCTGCAGCAGCGCCCCCAGGAGCTGGGAGAGTTGAGGGTGCTGGGCAGAGATGAGACAGGGCGCCTCCGTGTGGCCTGGACAGCCCAGCCCGACACCTTTGCCCACTTCCAACTGCGCCTGAGGGTGCCCGAGGGGCCGGGGGCACATGAGGAACTGCTGCCAGGGGACGTCCGCCAGGCTCTGGTGCCTCCACCTGCTCCTGGATCCCCCTATGAGCTGTCACTTCGTGGGGTCCCTCCTGGGGGCAAGCCCTCTGACCCCATCATCTACCAAGGCATTATGGGTACATCCTGGACTTTGCTCAAATCAGTATCCTGAGTTTGGGGAAGAAGCTGGGGCTATTGGGCCTTCAGAGATGGGATGGATATTGCGGGTCCAGTGAAGGGCAGGGGTGATGTTTGGCACTGGATAGAAGAAAAGGAAAGAAAAGGAATTGCAGGTTCATTGGGAAGACAATGGAGGGGGATCTTAAAACAATTATGAGGGTAGGTGGTGAGAGGCGAAAGAGACAGAGGAAAGAAGCTCCACGGTTGGACAGAGATTCCAGGAGACAGGCTGAAGTTCCCCGGCCCTCCACCTGTAGCTCTCCTTGCACTGTCCCCTGCCCTCACTCTTTGGTTGCTCCTCTAGCCTTCCCTGCCCTACAGATCTTTCAGGGTGGGCATGGGAAGGCCTCTGGACACTGACCCTCAGCCCCCGACACCTTGTCCCTGGGAGCCTGGTTTGCAGCGGACAGCAGTCCATGGTTCCATCTGCTAGTTTCTGGTGGGGGTGAAGGCTCCTTGGGGCAGGGGCTCCACCACTATCAGGACTTCAGATATGGATGAGGTTTGCAGGGCCAGTGAAAGACAGGGCCCAGGTTACCTGACTTTCACATCCCCTCTTTGTTCCTCTCTGTGGGATCCCAAGCTCTCCTCTGGAAGAGATTTGTAGTGAGAGAGAGAGCAGCTCAGGTGGGCGGAGGGGACTTCAGACTCCTCTGAAGCTGCAGCAGGGAGGCCTAAAACTCTCATGCAGAACCAGGGGGGACCTGAAACCCCTCCAAAGATCCTGGTGTGCAAAGGGACCAAGACCTTGTGAGAGATGGAGAAACTGTTGGAAGGGAAGGAGCAGAGATTGAGAGGGAAACGTCCCTCTTCCAGGAAAGCTGGTCACAGAGGGCTGAGGGGTGGGGAAATAGAGTCTTCCAGGGAGGGAGCTATCCAGGATGGAGTGAGGTGGGCAGGGGAGAGGGAAGGAGACACAGACAAAAGAATGATTGAGTCCACCATGCTTTGCTTTTGGCTCCCAAACTCCAGACACAGATGAGGAGAAGCCTGGGAAGTCCTCAGGCCCGCCACGCCTGGGTGAGCTGACGGTGACGGACAGGACCTCTGACTCTTTGCTCCTGCGCTGGACAGTCCCCAAGGGCGAGTTTGACTCCTTCGTGATCCAGTACAAGGACAGGGACGGGCAGCCCCAGGTGGTGCCCGTGGAGGGGCCCCAGCGCTCGGCTGTCGTCACCTCCCTGGATCCTGGCCGCAAGTACAAATTTGTCCTGTATGGGTTCGTTGGCAAGAAGAGGCATGGTCCCCTGGTGGCTGAAGCCAAGACCTGTGAGTGACAACACTAATACCCTGCCTTCTGTACTGCCCTGAAGGAGGTTTTCTCAGTGCTTTGGGAACCCATTTGGGAGCTCCAGGAAAGCTTCTTGGAGGCAGTGGTGCATGAGCTGAATTCTGAAGGGAAGGTAGTGGTGGGGCAGGCACAGAGGTTGGGAAGCTCACTGCAGCCTGAGGAAGTCACAGTGATCGAGGTGGGGAGAGCATGGCCAGCAGGAGAATCACTGCCACAGTTTCTTCCAGCTGGAGAACAGGGCATGCGGGGCTGCCAAAGGGCCTGGTCTCAGGGCTTTCTGGTTTGTGCTGAGGGGCTTGGGCCTCATTTGAAGACCCCTAGTGAAGTATTGGACTGAGTATGAAATTAAAAATAACACTAAGGCCGGGCACGGTGGCTCAAGCCTGTAATCCCAGCACTTTGGGAGGCCGAGGCAGGTGAATCACGAGGTCAAGAGATCGAGACCATCTTGGTCAACATGGTGAAACCCCGTCTCTATTAAAAATACAAAAAAATTAGCTGGGCATGGTGGTGCGTGCCTGTAATCCCAGCTACTCAGGAGGCTGAGGCAGGAGAATTGCCTGAACCCAGGAGGCGGAGGTTGCGGTGAGCCGAGATCGCGCCATTGCACTCCAGCCTGGGTAACATGAGTGAAACTCCATCTCAAAAACAAAACAAAACAAAACAAAAAAAAACCACTAAGACAAAGGTATGCCAAATTGCAGGGTCTTTTATTGCCGGTGGCCACAGAGAACTCACGTCTCTCCAACCTGTGGCCCCCAAGCTCAGGGAGAGAGGGGTTTTTAGGCTGAAAAACCGCATCCTGGTTTTAGGATTGAGAGGGTGAGGGGCGGGGGTGCGGCTGAAGGGATTCAGACATTCCGAGAGCCAGGGGATTCCGTAAATCACCTCCTGGGCAGAGATGAGGGTGGGGGTCTCCGGACATTCCAAGGGCTAGGGGACTTTTGTCATTCCGATTGTTACTTAAGTGGTTTACAGAAGTCAAGATAAATGTTAGTTTACACATTGTCTGGGTAGTGGTGGAAGTCACAGATCTTAGTTACTTATTACAAGTTGCGGGGGCCAAGATGGCATTAGTTTGGGCTGCTTATTCTGGTACTGATAAAAAAAAGTAAGCAGCTTTACACAGTGGGCAGTTTGCAGAGCAAACTAGCAGTTTTATTTACAGAAGCAGTTATTGCTAGGAGAATGGGGCAGCCGTTACAACTTACTTTTTGGAAACACAGCTTTGTCTTATAAAATGGTGTTGCTCAGGTGCTGGCTCTAGGCCAGCTGTAGCACACTAGAGGGCCTCTGAAGGGTGAAGTGGAAGAGTGATGTGACTAGATATTTATCTTGCAAATTGCACTGCGGCTGCTGCTGAGACTAGCTGGAGATGTGAGTTAAGAGCTGGTAAGGGCTGGCAGGGTGGATCCTTCCTATAATCCTAGAACCTTTGGAGGCCGAGGCCTCCTCAAGCAGGATTACTTGAGGCTAGGAGTTTGAGACCAGCCTAGCAACACAGCAAGACCCCATCTCTACTACAACAAAAGATATTAGCCAGGTGTGGTGGTGCATGCCTGTAGTCCCACCTACTTGAGAGGCTGAGGTGGGACGATCACTTGAGCCCAGAAGACAGACTGCAGTGAGCCATGATTGTGCCACTGTACTCCAGCCTGGATGCTATCCACATTTTGCACAGAGCAACACCCTGTCTCCAAAAAAAAAATATATATATATATATGTATCTATATATATAGATACATATATATATGATGGATTGGCTGGGATGTGGCAGTGGGGCTGGATGTGGGAGGCAAAGGAAAGCAAGGCGTACCAGGCAGCCCCCAGGATTCTGGATGAGACAGTCCCATTCCCTGAGGCATGGAGCAGCAGAGGTGTGGAACAACGGCTTAGATAAACTTAGATCAACATCTAAGGGACACTTACATAAGTATCTTTTGTGCGTTTATTAACAGTCAATTGTGATCAAGATGTTCTCTAAGTGGATCACGACACTTATTCCTTAAAGCACACCTAGGAGGCATGCTCACTTTATAGATCAAGAGAATTTAGGTGCCAGGGTAGCAGTGTGGGGCTGGGGAAGAGACAGGGCCACTGGAACCCTGGGGACGGCCTACACTCAGAGCAGAGGCAGAGGAACAAGAGCCACAGGGTAGCTTGAGGGGTGACTTGCAGGGAGGGGCAGAATCGGGGAGGGTGCCGTCCTGGACTCCAGGAAGGAGGGCGTGGTTGGACTTGTCAGATTCCAGAACAGTGATTCAAGGGCTATGGAGCGTCCACAGGATTTAGCAATGGCAAGGTTACCACTGGCCTCCATGAGAGCTGCTGCCTGGTGGCGGGATGAAGCTGGATTGGGAGGGTGATGGAGATGAGGACATGGCTACAATCAGTGTAGACATCACTTTCTGAAATCTGCGCTGGGAATGCAAGCAAAGAGGGAAGATGGAGGCTGGAGAGAGATGCACGCAGGATGCGGGGGAGGGGCGTGACAGTAGCATGTTGAAATGCTGATGGCACAGCCACTGGGGAGTGAAGGGTCAGTGATGCAGGTGGGGGAGTCCACCCACGGGTCAAAGTTCCCGAGGAGGAGGGCTGCAGCGAAGGTGAGGGAGGCTGTTTCACATTAAAACACTTCAAGGATTGTGCTCTCCTCTCTTGGAGAAGCAGCCAGCTAGTAGTTAGGCTTGGAAGCAGTGGAGGTTGTTCTGGGAAGATTTCCCTGGCTGTGGACATGTGAAAGGGCCTGGCTGGGCTCCCTTCTTTCTCCCCACTGCTCGGGGTTGTGGATGGAGGCAGAGCCACACTGGTCCACACAGTGCTTCCATGCCATTTGGAAGAAGGCACCCATTCCTCTAAGTGGACACTGCTTCTCACCAGGGCACACAGCTCAGCAAGCAGAATGTTGACTGAATTTCAGTCCCTCTGTACTCCCTCAGCAAGTGTGCTTTTGTGCAGTGAGCAACCTGCACAACCTCACACAGCATCCCTATGTGGGACTTGGCTTCCCCATTCTCCTTTGACCTGAGTCCTTCCCTTCTCTCTACCCGCTCTTCCTAGTGCCTCAGACTGACTCAAGTCCAGGGACTCCACCCCGCCTGGGAAACCTGTGGGTGACAGACCCCACCCCAGACTCACTGCATCTCTCCTGGACTGTCCCTGAGGGCCAGTTCGACACCTTCATGGTCCAGTACAGGGACAGGGATGGACGGCCCCAAGTCATACCTGTGGAAGGGCCCGAGCGTTCAGTTGTTGTCTCTTCACTGGACCCTGACCACAAGTACAGATTCACTCTGTTTGGGATCGCGAACAAGAAGCGGTATGGGCCTCTCACAGCCGATGGAACCACTGGTGAGTAGCGGCCACCGCAGCCCCCACGTGATCCCCTCTCAGCCCTCTGCATACTTGCCTTTAGCCTGAAACTAGCTGGAGTCCCCCAGCAAGACAGCTGACTCCAGCATCCTGGCCCCGCTCCTGGGCTGAGGAGCAGCCAGACTCCCCCGCACTGCTGGGCCCCTTCCATCCCAAGCAGCAGCTCCCCAAGGCCCAGAAGGTGTGTCATACCCTGGCTGTGTCAGGCTGCCCAGGAGTTTAGCATTCAAATTCATGGAGTAGTGACTCCCCCCCACCCCCTGTAGGTGTGACATCTCATCCAAACCCCAATTCCCAGTCCCAGGCTGCCAGTTCAGCACCTGGCTGGATCTTGTTTACAGCTCCAGAGAGGAAAGAGGAGCCCCCCAACCCTGAGTCCCTGGAACAGCCCGTCCTGGGGGAACTGACGGTGACCGGTGTGACCCCAGACTCCTTGCGCCTCTCATGGACGGTGGCCCAGGGCCCCTTTGACTCGTTCATGGTCCAGTACAAGGATGCACAGGGGCAGCCCCAGGCAGTGCCTGTTGCGGGGGATGAGAACGAGGTTACCGTGCCTGGCCTGGATCCCGACCGGAAATATAAGATGAACCTCTACGGGCTTCGTGGCAGGCAGCGTGTGGGGCCCGAGTCTGTGGTGGCCAAGACTGGTGAGTCATGGCTGCCAGGCCTCCCTTGCCTGCTAGCCCCATCCTGCGAGCAGGACCTGGCTGGGGCTCCTTCCAGCCTCCCTCCACCTTCACCTTCTCAGCTCATTTTGCCAAAGCCCCCACCCAGGTCCTCCTCCACTGCCCTCCTGTCCTCTGCATGCCAGGTCCCCTCATCCAGCCTCCAGCTCCTCATCTTTCTCAGCCTTACTCTTCATCTCCAAGGGCAGGTCCTATTTCACCATTCGAAGCACCGGGACTCCTCCCTCCACCCAGGGCTGTCTCCCCACAGATGTCCTCCCCATTTAGTCACTGTGTTCTCACCCCACAGTTTTTACCGGGCTCCTTCACTGTCTGGTTTGGGCCATGGTCACTTCTGCGCTTCTGTTACCTGCTCCCCACACCCTCCTGCTATTTCTCCTGTGTTCAGAGATGGCAGATCCAAGTGACAAAAGCACCACGTTTCTTCAGCCTTTTTGCAGCATGAAGAGGACCCCTCCCAGCTCCCGACTCCTTGACTCCCAGCCCGCTTGGAACAGGGCAAAGGGATTGCATTGAGCTCAGCACCCCAGCCTGTTCCTCAATGTGCCCAGCCTTTCCCTGTGCGGTGCCATTCCCATGGCCTGTGCATTCTTTGATGAGAGATAGCGTGGATAGTGGTTAGGAGCAGAGACCCCGGAGCCAATGCCTGAGTCTCACTCCCAGCCTTGCAACTTACTTCCTATGGACCTTGTGCAAGTTGCTTAACCCCTCTGTGCCTCAGCTTTCCCTTCTGTCAGCTGGGGAGGATAATGGTTACCACCACACAGAGCTGTTGCAATTACATGAGTTAATATACGATAACACTTAGAATAGCGCAAGGAGCAGCAAAACCTTTTCAGAGTGAGCTGCAATTTCTCCCTGACTCTCTCACTTCCCGTAATCTTTTTTGCTCCCCACCTCCCTCCCTTCCCCTGGGTTGTCATTCGTGCCGGTTCTTTCCTCAGTCTATCCCAAATTAGTCCCCCGTGTACAAGGGAGTGGGTCACTGAAGGGCTGGCTTCCCTTGTGCCACAGTCTCCCCACTCCATGGAGCCTTGGCAGAGACCTAACTGCAGGGGGCGGGCAGGTTCCCACAGGGCTATGATTCCAGAGCCAGCCGGGGAAGGGCACAGCCCTCCCTGGATCCTACTCACCCCAGAATTTTTCTCCCACTCCTGCCCAGAGCCCCGCCTTAGAAATTCATTCCTTGGGGTCAAAGGGGAGGGAGGGGCAGGGCTGCCTGGGGAGGCCATAGCAGGAGCACATTCTGTGGTCTGATCCTCGTATGAGGGGTGCGGCAGCCAGAATGCTGTGGGGAGGGCGCAGGTAGGAATAGCCTCACTGCCCTCCTGGCTGTCTGAGGTCAGCGCTGTCAGTGCACGTGGTTTGGAAGAACCCTCAGAGGCTTCCTCTTTTCCCATCTCAGCTCCTTTTTCTCAGACATGAAGAGAGACCCGTCACCCCCACAGAACCTACCAGAGAAGGATGAGGTAGGGGCTGTCTCAGCCCTCTCCATCCGTGAGTGACTAAATGGCAAATGCAAAGGCTACAGAGCCCCCGAGCCCATTTCTGGGCATCGTGAGGGCATTTCTGTGGCTATCCCCTGTTGGCAGTAGCAGCAAAGCCAGCAGCCCTTTATGCCTCTGTCTCTCCTCTCAGCTCCTCAGGAGGTTGTGGACGAGACTCCCAGCCCCACAGAACCCAGCACAGAGACCCTGGAACCCCCTGAGGAGCCACTCCTGGGGGAGCTGACAGTGACAGGAGCCTCCCCTGACTCGCTGAGCCTCTCCTGGACCGTCCCCCAGGGCCGCTTCGACTCCTTCACCGTGCAGTACAAGGACAGGGACGGGCGGCCCCAGGCGGTGCGTGTCCGGGGCGAGGAGAGCGAGGTCACCGTGGGGGGCCTGGAGCCCGGGCACAAGTACAAGATGCACCTGTACGGCCTCCACGAGGGACGGCGCGTGGGCCCCGTGTCCGCCGTGGGCGTGACAGGTGAGTGAGGGGCAGGGGACTACTCTGGTTCTCTTTCACTGCTGGCTCCCAGCTTCCCTGTAGCCAGTTGCTCTCCTTGCTCCAGTGGAGTCTTCAGGCCACCTGCCAGGGGAAGACCTAGAAAGTGCATGTCACTGGGGACTAGGGCACCACCAGCTTTCATATCCCTGAGCAAGTTTTTTTTTTTTTTAATATTTTATTGCACTTTAGGTTCTGGGGTACATGTGAAAAACATGCAGAATTGTTGCATAGGTACATACATGGCAACGTGGTTTGCTGCCTCCATCCCTGTCACCTATATCACATTTCTCCCCATGTTATCCCTCCCCAACTCCCTACCCCCCGCTGCCCTTCTCCTAGTCCCCCCCACAGACCCTAGTGTGTGATGCTCCCCTCCCTGTGTCCATGTGTTCTCATTGTTCAACACCCGCCTATGAGTGAGAACATGCGGTGTTTGATTTTCTGTACTTGTGTCAGTTTGCTGAGAATGATGGTTTCTAGGTTCATCCATGTCGCTACAAAGGACACAAACTCATCGTTTTTTATGGCTGCATAGTATTCCATGGTGTATGTGTAGCACATTTTCCTTGTCCAGTCTATCATCGATGGGCATCTGGGTTGGTTCCAAGTCTTTGCTATTGTAAACAGTGCCACAATGAACATTCGTGTGCATGTGTCTTTATAATAGAATGATTTATAATCCTTTGGGTATATATCCAGTAATGGGATTGCTGGGTCAAATGGAATTTCTATTTCTAGATTCTTGAGGAATCGCCACACTGTCTTCCACAATGGTTGAACTAATTTACACTCCCACCAACAGTGTAAAAGTCTTCCTGTTTCTCTATATCCTCTCCAGCATCTATTGTCTCCAGATTTTGTAATGATCGCCATTCTAACTGGCATGAGATGGTTTCTCCATGTGGTTTTGATTTGCACTTCTCTAATGACCAGTGATGATGAACATTTTTTCATGTTTGTTGGCCTCATATATGTCTTTTTTTGAAAAGTGTCTGTTCATATCCTTCACCCACTTTTGAATGGGTTTTTTTTTTTTTTCTTATAAATCTGTTTTAGTTCTTTGTAGATTCCGGATATTAGCCATTTGTCAGATGGGTAGATTGCAAAATTTTTTTCCCATTCTGTTGGTTGCCAATTCACTCTAACGATTGTTTCTTTTGCTGTGCAGAAGCTCTGTAGTTTAACGAGATTCCATTTGTCTATTTGTTGCCAATGCTTTTGATGTTTTAGTCATGAAGTCCTTGTCTATGCCTATGTTCTGAATGGTTTTGCCTAGGTTTTCTTCTAGGGTTTTTATGGTGTTAGGTCTTATGTTTAAGTCTTAATCCATCTGGAGTTAATTTTAGTGTAAGGTGCCAGGAAGGGGTCCAGTTTCTGCTTTCTGCACATGGCTAGCCAGTTTTCTCAATACCATATGTTAAACAGGGAATCCTTTCCCCATTGCTTGTTTTTGTCAGGTTTGTCAAAGATCAGACGGTTGTAGATGTGTTGTGTTGCCTCCGAGGCCTCTGTTCTGTTCCATTGGCCTATTATGTCTGTTTTGGTACCAGTACCATGCTGTTTTGATTACTGTAGCCTTGTAGTATGGTTTGAAGTCCAGTAGTGTGATGGCTCCAGCTTTGTTCTTTTTGCTTAGAATTGACTTGGCTATGCAGGCTCTCTTTTGGTTCCATATGAAGTTTAAGGTGGTTTTTTCCAGTTCTGTGAGGAGGGTCATAGGTAGCTTGATGGGGATAGCATTGAATCTGTAAATTACTTTGGGTAGTATGGCCATTTTCACAATATTGATTCTTCCTAACCATGAGCATGGAATGTTTTTCCATCTGCTTGTTTCCTCTCTTGCAAATTTTAAACTTTCTTTCTTTCTTTCTTTTTTTGAGTTGAAGTTTTGCTCTTGTTTGCCCATGCTGGAGTGCAATGGCGCAATCTCAGCTCACTGCAACCTCCACCTCTGGGTTCAAGCAATTCTTCTGCCTCAGCCTCCTGATTAGCTGGGATTACAGGCATGCACCACCACGCCCAGCTAATTTTGTATTTTTAGTGGAGATGGAGTTTCTCCATGTTGGTCAGGCTGGTCTTGAACTCCCGACTTCAGGTGATCCGCCTGCCTCGGCCTCCCAAAGTGCTGGAATTATAGGTGTGAATCACCATGCACAGCCAAGTTTAAAACTTTCTGCGTCCCTGTTTCCTTATCCGAAAAATGACACCTACCTCACAGAGCTACTGTGACAGTTAAGTGAGTTAACAGATGTAAAGCATCCAGGATGGGCCTGGCAAAAGTAAACATGCTGCCAGTGTCTGCTGTGAGAATTGCTATAAATATTCTTACTTTGGGGTCTGCTTTGTCCCCTTTAGCTGGTTCAGTTACTTGGTCAGAATGCACATGAATCTAAAGCCATACCACCCTGAACATGCGCCATCATCTCCTCTGATCTCAGAGGAGGGTCAGGTTGGTTAGTACTTGGATGGGAGAATGTGCATAAGACATTGGCCTCTTCATCAATGCAGCTCGAAGCAAGCTTTCTTTTTCTTTCTTTCTTTTTTTTTCTTTTTTTTGAGACTGAGCCTTGCTCTGTCACCCAGGCTGGAATGCGGTGGTACGATCTCGGCTCACTGCAACCTCTGCCTCCCAGGTTCAGGCAATTCTCCTGCCTCAGCCTCCTGAGTAGCTGGGATTGCAGGCACGCACCACCACGCCTGGCTAATTTTTGTATTTTTAATAGAGACGGGGTTTCACATGTCAGCCAGGCTGGTCTCAAACTCCTGACCTCAAGTGCCCCACCACCTCGGCCTCCCGAAGTGCTGGGATTATAGGTATGAGCCATCACGCCTTTAATACTCATCCAGCGAGTGATTTAACAGCAAAGAAGACCATCCCTTCCACCCTCTCTCTCAGGCCTGGTTACAGGGCCACATCCACTGCCACGCAGGACCAACCTGGGCATCTCCTCTCCAGGACTTCAGCCCAAGAGGCTGAGTGGGCAGCAGTGCCTCTGGGACCTTCCTGCTGACCCGCCCGGTCACAGGAGGGGAATCTCTTTTTCCCTTTGCTCACAGAAACAAAGACACACCCTTCTCAAAACAACTTATACAATAAGGAGCAAGATTGCAAACGTAGAAGTAGAGAAAGAGATAGTTTTCCAGAACATGGTTTCTTTAATTGTTTTCCAGAACATGGTTTCTTTAATTCCACCAAGCTCAGCTTCATCATGACGTGGTTGATTTTTTTTCCAGAACTTTCCACTCTCTATTTTCTTTGCCTCAGTCAGCACTGAGAAAAGGGAGAGGGGAAAGCCACCCTGAGTGACTCTCCTTGAGGCCTGAGGTTGTAGGGTGTAGGCTGGTGCCAAGCCCAGACATGCTGCCAGGGCTGCTCCTGGAGTGATCCTCCCTCTGCCCCTCTGTCCCAGGGACCCACATTGGGCTCTGTGAGGACTTGTGCCTGGTCCCTGGAGGAAGGATGGACTCTGTCAAGCACCGACTTAGGCGGTGCAGTAGAGATAAATGGAGTTTGGGAATCTGACAAACTGAGTTCCTCCCTGGCTTCCCCTATTGTCGGCTGTGTGCTTTTTTTTTTTTTT